ACCTAACCTCTGCCTGCTTCAATTTCCTCATCTGTAAAATGAGAATAGTGATAGCACCAATCTTGCAGGATTATTGTGAGGATTAAATTAAATAACATGTAATGCACTTTGCTAACCTTAAAGCTCTATATCAATGTTGGCTATTACTATAAAGGGACTTGCTCAATGTCACATGGGTAGTTGAGTTAAGGTGGATGGCTAAGATAAGATGGGAGTATTTCCTTTGTAAATTTGCTAATCTTTTTGACAGGGTAAAAATTTATGGAAACTATCTGCAACGCTATATTTGAGACTGTTTCCCCAAAGTCCTGGGATTCAGAATTTTCCCTAGAGTATACTGTAACAGAGAAATTACTGAAGTCACTTAGCTTTAAAGGGATTGGGAGGGAGGGAGGGACAGCAGAACCTTAATTTTGGCAACTGGGAAATAACTCAAGGAGGCAGCCAGCAAAAAGCGTGACACCCAGGATGTGAGATTCCAATATATAACATAATACTGTCCCTGCCTCCCACTCACACCAACACCAAGTCTTCAGCTAAGTCTGCTCCTTTACCCTTTCAATATATATGCCCTAGAATGTATGCCACCCTCTTGTGACCTTTTTTCCCTTTCAAGGCTGCCCTTGATGGTCATTTAACCTTGATTACACCAGTATAAATATAAGTTAAAGACAGTGTTATTTGTTTACAGACTCTCATCCCCTTAGGAATGCCCCTGTCCTGCTGACCCATTTGAACTATTCTGCCTACGCATGAATGTGAAGGAACTATCTTTTTTCTGGGAAGTTGCACTATGGCCCCTGACCTACCATCAGATATTTCCAAACAACTTTAGTCTATAGCCCATCAGGCCTCTCCTGACTGTTCCTTCCATGAATAAATACTCTGAAGGAGTCTACAAGCGTAACACCAAAAGCAAGCACTTACATGAGGAAGCAGGAAAAGGCTTCTGCATCAGGGCTCCGGGGTAGGTGTTTCCGGGCCAGTGCCTTGTAACGTTGCCAGCGACGAAAGTTCTCATAAACACCCTTGGAGGTGCAGGAAAGGTCACCCAAAGAGGGTTTGGGACGAGGTGGGGGTGGACCTCCCTCCCCAGGAGTCCCATCTGGCCCCCGCCAAGCCTTTTCTGGGGGTATAATAGGAGCTAGTTGGGCAGTGGGTGGTGGGGCTAGGGGAGGATGAGTAGGGGGTCCCTCTCCTTCACCAGCCTGGGTCACCCCAACAGCCTTAGCGAGAAGAATGGTCTTGACATTAGTGGCTGCTAGGAACAGAGGAGTGGGGCCTTCAGGACCCCCACAGGCAGGACCTGGAGCAATCCAGTTGAGTGCAGTCTGAGTGAGGATAAAGGTCTGAGTTCGGGGGGCCTCAGCTGGGCCTCCCTCTGTCTTGACTTTGACAATGACCTTACCAGCCCCACCCCCACTAGGGCCTGCTCCCCCATCCCCTGTCACCAGCAGTGTCCTAGGGAAAGCAGACAGAACCAGAGGGCTACCCGGAGAGAATGGTGAAGAAATGGGAGCTTGAGGTGGTGGCTCCCAGGGAGGCTTGTCTGATGGTCCTGGAGGGGGTAGGGGTAATGGAAGTGAAGTACAGGGTGGGACAGGGCCAGGCTTCGGGGTCATTTCAGGTCCAGACAATGGAGGAGCTGTTGAGAAAAAGGAGGGAATGGAGCAGGAAATGAGGCAACTAGAGGTGTCAACATCTGGGTACCCTTTGGACACTAATGCATTGCAGAGCTGGTCCCCTAACTCACTGGGTAAACACCTTTGCCAGTCTAAAAAAAAAAAAGACAGGGAAATGCCTACAATGTCACTGACAACCTTTTAAAGAATATTCTTAGCAGTCTGCCTCTACTAGGTGTTGTCCCAAGATATAGAACCAGGCTGACATGCAGGAGATAACAACTCACAGCATGACCCCACCTAGGAGGTTGAGCACCTGATGGGAGAATCTAGAATCTGGCCCTTTCCTAGGCTCCTTTGGTGTCCCTAAATTAGAGATAGATTCTAAGAGGTTCCCGGTCCTGTTTCTTCATTCCTCCCCCTTTTCATTTCCTTGCTCCTTTTTTTAAGTCCCTTGTTTCTCTTCTCACCTAAAAGTACAATGAAAAAAAATTCTATAGCCATAACCAATTATCCCTAAAACTCGCTTTCCTATTAACAACTCATTTCTGCTTATGGTAGTAAAATCAAGAGACATCCCCCCTACTCCCAGCCACTCCAGACTTTGTTATCTCTAGCCATTTAATTCTCTTTCTGAAGTCTTTTTAACTTGAGGAGGAGAAACCCATAGAGATTCCCAGAGACTCTCCACTCCAGAAGAGTAAAAACTGAGTAACAAGGGGGCAGTAATAGAGGTAGAGAAGAATGACAGGTCTTCTAATGCTTCAGGCAGCTAGCTGATAGACCCAGTGAAACGTGGCAGTTGCTACTAAGACTAATTCTGATTCTATCCATGGTTTCCCTGTACTATTCCCTAAGTAATGGAAAGGGCAAGGCTTTCAATTAACAAGTAGCTATTGAGCACTTAGTATGCACAAGGCATTAGGAATACAAGAAAACATAACACTCCATACAACATATAAGATGCCTTCTAAGGAGATGCCTCCATTTAATAATAAGAGTTTAATAATCCACCAAGACCTAATCCCACCTTACCCCACAAAGGACATGAAACTCACAGTTCACCTCCCTGACCATAAAATATGACCATGGAGTCATGGAAAATGGTGGACAAGCTCATCGCTCTGATGACATGCAGGGAAAAGTCAGGAAACACTAGCCATATGGAAAAAGGCAGGCAACAAGATGAGATGGGTTAGAGGGCCTAGGGTCCTAGGATAGGTGAAACAACTCAGAGTAAATTAGTACAGTCTATTCAACCATGGTTGAATAACCATGTATTAACCACCTCCCCAATACTACCCAACCTGATAAATCAAAGGAACAACCTCTAGATGTTCCCTGGGCAAAGAAAAAAGGAGATTACTAGGTCTCAAGAAAACTGAGGTGTTCCACCCTAGAGCAGTTATTGTATTGTATCTATATTAACCTGGAGGAGGTATTGTTTTGAGATCTCAGGAAGTCTACTAGTCTCTTGGTAGGTTCAGGACATGCCTCAGCAAAAGAGGATCACTCAGGCCAAATTTCTGTCAAAGACCTTGCCACCTAATTCCTTCTGTCCTCCCCAATCTAGTATATCCCTCCTGAAATATAAATTTCTAAAGCAAAAACTTGGGAAAAGAGGGTCTAATTGCCAAAAAGAAGCACATATATGTTAGACCTAATTCCACTAGACCCTTTTATCTTTCTTCAAGGGGGCTATTGCCTAGTGACTGGAGGTTTCTTGACTATTTAAATCAATCTACTAATGGTCCTTCTCTCTCAATTCAGAGCTACCTGGCACAGTTCCTTCAAGGCATCCCAAATCAGCTCTGAAGATATTGGCTCTGTGAACCCCAAGGCTCCAAAGTGGTTCCCCAACCTCCCCGGGTCTGTTGCCTGACAATAGGATGGATCCATTGATCTCTCTTCCTCTTGGGTCCCACAGTTCAGGCCAAAAAGGTGATCCCCAGGACTACAGTCCCAAATTTCTGTCCCTAGGGCTTGAGGGGGTAAGGGGTATGTGACAGGCCCCCAGCCCCGCTCACCTCCATCTGGGACTGGACCCTCTGGCTTGGGCACTAATCGGGGCTGCCTCGTAGCCTCCAGGATGGGGCAAGGGTCAGGTCCAGAGCCCAGAGGGCCACCTGGTTACAGTAGCTGCCCAAGAATTGAGGATAGCAGAAGGTAAAAGATTGAATCAAAACAGAACTGGAACCTAGAAACCAGGGCATTCTGCAGTGGGGGAAGGGAGAGAAAAGTGAAGGCAAGGCCATGGGGCTGAGGAACATTCTATGGGAGGATGGGGGAGGGGAACCAGGCTGGGAAGGCAGAGACAAGAAAGTGCTCCCCTTGGAGAATAGAAGATCTGAGTTCAGATCCTAACTCAGACAATTACTAGCTGAATGACCCTGAATAAGCAGGGTTAAGTCCCTTAACCTCACCAGCCTCAGTTTCCATATCTGTATAATGAGGGGGTTGGACAATAAGGTCTTTTTCCAGTTCTCAATATGTTTCCATTTATAAAATAAGAGGTTGGGACTGGAAGAAGACTTCCACTGATCCTAGGTAAGTAGTGCAATGGGGTTGTCTCCAGATTCCAGACCCAGGAATTAAACCCACCTTCTTCTTGGACTATTATTTTGAATTATGTTTCTCAGATTTCCAAGTTCACCACTTCCCCAGCCCTTCACCCATTCATTTTTTCTTCTTTTCTGCTAACCTACTCCCCTTACTTCTCTACCATTCTTAGGCTTCTAGCCTTTAATCTCATTCACCCACTCTCCAGAATGCAGAGGATGGAGTAAAGAGGCCCTGGGCTCACATCTCAGGCCTGGCTCTCCTACTCTCCTGGGTGACCTTGAGCAAGTTAATGAACTTGTCTGAGCTTCAATATCCTCATCTGGAAAAATAAAGGGTTTGACCTAGCTGCTCTACGGTCCCTTTCGGTTCTGAGACCTATGAAGTTCCTAGACTTCAAACCCGGGTCCAGGGCAGCTGGCGCTGCCTGGGCGCCTGCATTTACTTGCCCCCTGTAAGGTTCTGGGCACGTCCGTTCTTCAGCGGAAGTACTTACAGTACAGTGTGCATGCAGGGGAGGGATATTCAAGATCTGGGATATTCAATAGCAACCTCTCTGTCCCTGAAGGGAGTAGACCTGAATCCTTGGGTAATGGCCTCCACTGCCATTAGAAGCCCACTCTCCTCCCTCCCCTAGACTCTCTCTACCATAACCTATCCCAATTTCCAGGAGAGAGATGAGCTCCCAAGTGCAATCCCGATGCGAGGTCTCCCCCTTCAGGAGGGCAGGAGGACAGGAGAGATGTCAGGGACTACAACTCCCAGCATGCCGCGGGGGAGCGAGGGGAGGGGCTCTATTTCCCGGAAGTGTCCCTGGAACAAACACGTGGGGCGTGGGGGCAGGCCCGAGGCTGTCTGTCGTTGGAGTCTCCCAGCCTAAGGCGGAGGTGGAAGTGTAGTTGTAGCCCGATTCTTTCCGTGGCGCATCAGGATTGTGAAGTGAATTGGCCGCGATGTTTCTGCAGTATTACCTCAACGAGCAAGGGGACCGGGTCTACACCCTAAAGGTAAGAAGAGGAAGTTAACCCCGAGTGGTGGGGCTGACTTGGGTAGGAAGGCACGGCGGTTGTGAAGACTTAGAGAGACTGCAGGGGAGAAGAAGGGTTAGGGCGGAGAGGAAGAAATTAACCGTTCGGATCTTTAAAAAGTCAGTATAAAATCAACCCTACGCAGAAGGGTTAGTAGCTAGCATTTAAATTTTGCAAGCGCTTTTACAAATATCTTCGTTGGTTCTCACAACAATCCTGGGAGGTAATAGTATCCTTATTTTACCGAAGGAGGACCTGAGGCCGAGAGAGGGTAAACGATTTGCCTAGTTAATTTTTTTTCTGGCACAGCCCTCCTTTTGTGTATTCTTTATACTGAGGTGGTCGGGTAAAAGAGAAAATTTATTTAAAAGAAAAGAAAAGCAGGAAGAGCAAAGGCCCGACGATAGAAACCAATTGGGTAAACATTTGTTAAGCGCCTACTTTGTGCTCAGACACTTGTGCTTGGCGCTGGGGATAAAATATAAAGAACCGAGAAACCACAAGGTAATTTCGGATGATGGGGAAGGTGTGTGTGCTGGCTGCGATAGGAATCAGGAAGGGCCTCATACTGGGATGGTATTTGAGCTGTATTGTAGTTTGAAGGAACCTAGCTAAGGATTTCTAGAGTCTTAGTTGGGAAAGGAACTCGTTTCCTACTCCTAATCATAAATCCCACTTACTCAGTATTTATCCCAGATGTTTTCGTCTCTCTTCAAGCTTCCCATCTCACACTCCATTCCCTACTCTTTCCATTGAGTACTTCACCTCATAGTCAATAAACGTTATTAAGAACCTACTATGCATCAGGCTCAGGGATATAAAAAGAAGGAAAAGACTGTCCCTATATACCCTCTAGGAGTTACAATCTAATGATCTCATCATACTTAGCACAGTTCTTGTCTGTTGGTAAGCACTTTTACTGGGGCTTTGCTGGAGCTGAGTAGGTTGGGGATAAGGGGAGGGACCAAGGGGATGAATGAAAATAAATAACTTACCCTTTACCTGTCTGGATCTTTTCTACCTTTTCTCTGTTTCTGGTCCAGAATAATCAGTAAACATTTATTAAGTCCCTACTGAGAGCCAGGCACTGTGCAATAGGTACTTAGGATACAAAAAGCCAGACGACAGTCTCTGCCTTCCAAAGAACTTACAATGTAATGAGGGAGACATCATGCAAGGCAAGCTATATACAGGATAAATAAGAACTAACAGTCGGGGAAGACACTGCTATTAAGAGGGACTGGGGGAGGCTTTCTGTAGAAGGTGGGATTTTAGTTGGGACTTAAAAGAAGTCAGGTTAGTGGGCAGAGTGTCCCAGCAGGAGTGTCCCAGGCATGGAGGACATCAGAGAAAATGCCTGGAGCCAAGAGATGGAGTGCCATGTTTGTTGAACAGCCAGAAGGCTAGTGTCACTGGATCAAAGAATATGTGGTGGAGAGTAAGGTATAAGAAGGCTGGGAAGGTAGGTAGTGGCTAGGTTATAAAGAGCTTTGAATGTCAAAAAGTGCATTTTGTATTTGATGCTGTAGGCAATAGGAATTTGAGTAGGTGGATGACATGATCAGACCTGTACTTCAGGAAAATCACTTTAATAGCTGAATGGAGGATGGATGGGAGTAGGGTGGGACTTCAGGCTGGTAGACCCACCAGCAGGCTATTACAGTAATCAAGATGTGAGGTAATAGAGGTCTGTACTAGAGTGGTGGCAGTGTCAGAGAAGAGAATTCTCATTCAGTTCTCTTTATTCTCCTAACAGAAAACAGACCCTGCAGGACAACAGACCTGCTCAGCTCACCCAGCCAGATTCTCCCCAGATGACAAGTATTCAAGACATCGTATCACTATCAAGAAGAGATTCAAGGTTCTCATGACCCAGCAAGCACGATTGGTCCTCTGAAATACCAACCACCAAGCAATGGCAGCCACCAAGGACTTTGGCCCAAGAACCTTTTCCTACATCTAGGAGACCTCATTCAGAAAGAGCTCATATCTTTGACTCTTTAACCTATTCTCACAACTTTCCAGTTACTCCTTTTGTATACTTGCTTCTTAGAATCTAGTCTCAATTTGGCTGTGTTCCTCTCTGTACTTGGTAGCAATCAACCTAAAATGAAAAAGCCTAAAGGTGACCCATCTTTTTAATCAATGTTGTAGGCTATTAAAGCTGAAATGATTTAGAAGATCTGTTTTTCTTTTTTAATTGGGTGCAGGAAAGTCTTCTTTGAATTGATTAGAGGAAGCTAGGTGGCTCAGTGGATAGAGTGCTGGGCTTGGAGTCAGTATGATCTGAATTCAAATACAGTCTCAGACACTTACTAGCAGTATAACCCTATGCAAGTCACTTAACCTCTGTTCAACTCAATTCCTTAGCTTTAAAATAGGGATAATAGCTTTCATTTGCAACTGGGAAATAAGATATACAGGAAATGGGGTATAGAAATCTATCCTGCCCTACAGGAAAATTGAAAGGGTGGAGAGATAGAAGGCAGGGCAGATTCGGAGAAGGGGTACTCAGAATGCATGCCATCTTGGGGTGGGGGGAGGGACGAGATGGGGAGAAAATTTGTTGAAGTGAATTTTGAAAACTAAAATAAATTTAAAGAATAAAATCAAATGGGGATAATAACAGCACCTACTTTGAAGGATTTGAGGATCAGATGATAATATATTTGTAAAAAGGTACTTAACAGTACCTGGTATGTAGTAGGTGCTGTAGAAATGCTTATTCCTTTTCCTGATCAAGAAGTAATTTAATATCTCCATTTTTATTATTTTAAAATGCTAGAAAGCCTGCATTGGAATTCAAAATTCCTCATTTTCTTCCATAAAAATCAAATTGGACTAGATGGTCTAGTTTCTTTTAGCTCCAAATTCTTAGATCCTGTTGATACCCTTGAATTTCTTGCCCTTTTGTAGTGATACTGATACTCAATATAGCACAACAGTGCTCATGAGAGATGTCTTCTGAATGGATTGAGTGACCAAAGAATGTTATCTTTACCTGGAGGTTATCTTTGTTCTAAGGAAAATGTTTTGTAAACCCTAAGACTCCAGACGTGTGAGCTATTATTCTCTAGAGTCTCACAGTTTATCCCAAGTTGTGAACAGATTGGTATGAACCAAAAAGCCCTCTGAAGCTCAGGTCAGTTTAAGAGAAAAGTCATGCATTCTGACAAATGTTTTCAGGTTGAGGATTGAGCAAGCACAAAGATTAAAAAATGAAGTTTTAATATTCTAATCCATCCTTGTCATGACAGAAAACAACCTAAAGATTTGTCTTAGGGCTATGTAGTAGAATCCAAAGCAGGAGATGACTCTTGATTCCTTAATTCTTGACCTTATTTCCCTCTTCCCCCTTGCACGTAGGGGAACCACCTTCCTTTTCCTCAAAGTAAATGTCTTTTGAGAGGTGTTGCCTAAAGAAAACTTAAGCAAAAGGAGTACAAGGAATCCTCCAGGAACAATAAAATAATACTTTTAAAAAAAAACCTAATTCTTGGTCTGCTTTTCTGATGGAGGAATGATTTTTAGTCTTTATTAAACCAGAACTTCCTCTCACTGTTTCTAGACCTCAAGAGAATCCACATCTTAGTCAAGGCCTTAGATGGTTCTTTGAGGAAGACAATGAGTAATTAACAAGTTAACCTAGGTTTGCAGAAAGCATCCACACCAGATGTCTTAGCATTTATGTCTTATGGTTATAGGCAAAAGGATAAAACCCTGTTTTCTGTTTAGTCATCCCTCTACAAAAAATGTGAAGACACACTTGTTTGACTATTCATCTTTATTTATCCAAATTCTTGAATTTAGATTACCTGTAGTTCAAGATAATGGTTTTGCCTCCTGCCACCCTTTGTTAATCTCCCATTTCCTCAAACAGTACCCAACCTTGAAAGTATGTGACAGTAATCACTAATACATAGGAGGCAGCTAGGTGGCTCAGTGGATATGGTGCTGGACCTAGAATCAGGAAGATATGAATTCAAATCCATCTTGAGACACTTCCTAGCTGTGTGACCCCTGGGCAAATCACTTAATCTCTTGTCTTAATCCGCTGGAGGAGGGAATGGGAAACTATTCCTGTATCTTTACCAAGAAAACCTCATGGATAGTATTGGGGTGCTATGGTCACAAGGAGTTGGACGTGACTGAAACGCTGAACAAGTAAAACAAGATTTATGAATTGAATTAGTATATCTCTTAAGTGGGAACTAGAAAAGGAGGAAATAACAGGTAGAATGCTGATGAGATAGGTTCCTACAGGGAGTAGTAGGTGGCTAATAAGTGAAGAGAACAAGTGTTGATAGTATTAGTGGACATAAGGGAGGAGGTACTCATTGGGAACCCTCAAAAAAAATGTTAAGATGACAAAGATACCAGTACAATAAAATTAGGTTAAATGTAATGAAGTGATGTTTATCAGGTCTTGAATGGTATCTCTGGCCACATACCAACTGAAAGGCCCAACCTCTAAACTGCTCAGGAAATCAATTAATAAACATGTATTAAGCATGTGCCAGGTACTGTGCTAAGCACTAGGGACACAAAAAGAGGGGGAAAAAAAGCAAAGGCAGGATGATGGGTAGCATGCTCAAAAGTCAGGATGACCTGACTGACACTGGTTATGTGACCCCAAGCAAGTCATTTAACATCTCTCAGGCCTAGTTTGCTCAGTTGTAAAATTAAAAGGTTGGACTCCATGGCCTCTAAAGTCCCTTCCAGCTCTTAAAAATCTATGATCCTAAGTCTGGAAGAATTAAGCTTTATCCTTTCTACCAAGTGGTAGAAGTAGTTCCTATCCTGGAGAATACACTTTCAGGCAGAACAGCTGAAGTGGGCCTTTTCCAAAAGAAAACACTAGACACTGAGCTACAGAGACAAAAATGAGAAATATTCCCTACCCTTAAGGAGCTGACATTTCTACTGGAATCCATGCATATGGTTGTAAGTGTTAGAATAATCTTGCAGCTTCCTTCCAACTTTAAGTTAAAGGGATGGTGAAATGAGTATTATTCAGCCATCTCATTTACAGGTTGTGTGTGTGTTTATGTTGGTCCAAAATGAATCTGCCACTGATGAGAAAATTGCTTTGTGAAGAAAAATTATAAATCAGAAGAGGAGTGTTCCAATTTTATATAGTTTTTTTTCCTTGAATCAAAAATTTGGACCTCAAACAAACCTGTTTTAAATTGGCTCTCATAAATTATATTGCAAAGGTATAGAAAAACCCCTCTTGGATCTCACTTCCTGGCCAGCTCTGCCAAGAAGCTTTATGAACAGGCAAACTATCCCTCAACCTTTGAAGACTAGAAGGCAGTTGATGAAGTGGGTAAGAGGAGGAGGTTGACATTAGGGATGATGACTTAAGTTGGGGGCTTTTATAATTTAGCCTGCAAGCAGTGAGTTCTCAGTTTTCTGGTTTGAGGCTTTCCTGGGATCTACATCCTTGACTTTATTTTCCTTATACAAAAAAAGGAATAATACTATCCCATATTCTTTCTTTTTGTTGTTTTTGTTTTTTGTTTTTAGTTGGGCAATGGGGTTAAGTGACTTGCCCAGGGTCACACAGCTAGTAAGTGTTATGTGTCTGAGGCCGGATTTGAACTCAGGTCCTCCTGAATCCAGGTGCTCTACCTACTGTACCACCTAGCTGCCCCCTATCCCATATTCTTTCATGGGGACTTTTCTATAGATAATAGGGCTTTTCCCAAAAGTATTCACTTACATAGAGTAGCAGCATATTTTTAGATTATGACATCTATAGAGTTGGGAGGAAGCAGGATGGTTCAGGTACATTTTTTCAAAAAGAAAAAAACCCTAATGGAAATGAATTTGTATATATGTGTACATATATGTACATTTGTGTGTATATTACACTGTGTGTGGCACTCTCCCTAGGCTATCTCCCCAACTTTCACTCAGTCTGTGAGTTCTCTAGGGGTAACTACCTATTCAAAGTACTTTGTGACTCTGCTCCCCTGAAACTACAACTCATAAAACTCCAATGGTGTGTTTACTTTTAGTCAATCAAAGGACATGATTAGCTCAAGGCAAAGGCATTTAATGAAATGACACAGCAAGGACAGTAGTAAAGTATCTATCCCATGAACCTGGAGCATTCAATTTCACAAAAACATCTTAAGTAGGAAGAGTGGATGTCCATAGAGTTCTAAAATGCAGACGCACATATATAAGGAACACATGACCATGTGCAAGGACAGGTAATTCATGACTAATTCTATAAACAAGTCTAATACTATTCTCTACATTTGGTTCCAATCAGAATTTATAACTTGCTGACACAGCCTTCAAGAACCCTATATGCTACAATGACAGAGTAGATCTGTATATATCTATTTGGTCTAGACTTGAGATTTCTTCTGTCTAGGTAACTGCTGGTATAAAAAGTACCTCCACTGGTGCAGATCAATAGCATGGACATATAGCATTGTTGTTTAGTCTCACCCGATCCTTCATGACCTCATTTGGGGTTTTCTTGGCAACAATACTGCAGTGGTTTTCCATTTCCTTCTCCTGCTAATTTTACAGATGAGGAAACTGAGGCAAACTGGGTTAAGTGACTTGTCCAGGGTCACACTGCTAATAAGGCCACATTTGAACTCAGGAAGATAAGTTCCTTACTCCAGGCCCAGCACTCTATCCACTTCACCACCTAGGTGCAATTAAATCCAATAGAGTATGAGATTTTTGAGAGCAGGTACAGTATCATTTTTTATTTATGTAGTCCCACTGAGAGGCATTATAGCATAGTAAGAGAAGTGGTCTTATAGAGTCAGGAAGACTTAAGTACTGCCTGACACACACTCTGACCCTTCCACATCAAGTTACTTAACCTGAGAATGCCCCAGTCAATTTTCTAAGCCTGTAAATTATAGTCAGTTGCTAATGTTTTGGTACAGGGCATTTCCATTCCTCACACTGATGAAATCATTGGTTCAGACTGCTTTCCCATCCCCATCCCCCAAAAAATATCCCTTAGTCAAAACAAGGCCCTGTACACAATAGGCCCTTAAAAATGTTTGTTGAATTGATCAAAGAATGAGAACTGGACTGGGTCAGCAACTTGCCTCTCTCACTGACCAGCTGTATGACCTTGAGGAGGTAACAATTTCTCTGAGTTTGTTCATTCTTTTGTAAGATGGGAATGATAAAGCTTGTACT